AAAAAAAAAAAAAATAGGGGTGACAAAGTGCGAACACACACACAGACACAAACAACTTCTTGCCAATGTGCATTTTCGAATTTCATAAATTTGCAAAAATCATAAAAATGAAGGCGGCAGTGAAGTCACTTTCGAAGTGAACGCAGCATCTTTCTGAAATCTGTTATTTTAATTCTCGTGATTACCTGCTGACATGGGCCAAATGTTTCAGTGTTAAGTATTGCTGTGTAAAAAATATTTTATTATAGATGGATGTGCGTTACAAATGTATACACACTAACATCTCTGACCACTTCGTTGAATGTAACAATGGTTGTGACACTGCGCAAGTTTTTATCAATGGTTCTGTCTATTTTAATTTTCAAAAATCCTTTTACAATTCTGCATTGTCTTGGCTTCATGTCTGTGATGTTCGGAAGTTTAGCATTTACCGTTGTTGATCTCAACTCGTTTCCTCCGTTTACCAAAAAAAACTTGTAAAACATATAAATTTTTTTTTTTTTTGACGTGCTTCTCGAAGTCTTGCCACTCACATTATTTATGCTCATCACAGACTCGCTCTCTGCAGCATTCAGGAGAAAAAACGTATAGACCTACAGGCACCTAATTTACTGAGATGAGCTGCAGCACTGGTTAACCATATTCCATTTGAAGACTGGACACAGGAAACTGTAATTCCTTTTTTTTTTGTGAGATTTGGCTGCCTTAGGAAATTCTACATCACAGTGCGGCAGTTTGGGCTGTTTTGCGTCTTTTGGCTTGCACTGCTTTAGTGATGCAAAACGCGTACTGTCAACTGCGGCTCATTTCCAGAGAGATACCAGTGCTACGATAACAAGCTATGAGCTCGTTTCCCAGTGCATTTCACATATGCTGCGTATGCCTGAAGATTGCACTGACGACCTAGGGCCATTCACGCGCACTGGTTTACTGTTTATTCGAAATCGCAAAAACAGCGCTTGCTCAGCGCCTCAGGCTGAACTACTCTCGCTCGTATCGCACTTCTCGTGTTAAGTTCGAAATGTTATTCGATTCATTAAACATTCTTTATTTCTCTACAAAATCGCCCAATAATTGTCGGAGCTATCAATCGTTGCGCGGCTACTTCTTTGCCGCTTTTTTGGTCGCTGGCGTGCTTTTTTCGGCGGCGCCTTTCTTCTTTTTATTTGCCTCGCTTGGCCGCCCTTTTTTTTTTGGTTCGACCTCTTTCTAAAACAGAGTATTTATTAAACAAGTACAGGCGAAGCAGAATACGCAAATTTATCACCAATGAGCGACATAGCTAGGTTGATCTATTGCTTAAAGCAGATTCATAAATCTTCCAGCAAAAGGCCTGCTGATAAAGGGGAAGCCATGATCCAGGAAGAGAATCAGCCCAACTAGGTCAGTTTTCCAGTGGCCCGTAATGCTTTCATCGATTCGGCCTATGTTTTTCATTTCGATTTTCCAATTTTCTAATCCACTTTGCTAGAGCATACAAAAATCTCAGGTAACGCTAGCGGACAGTGCGACTGAGCCAGCGATTGATTTCAAAAATGCATATAATTCATCGAGTCACTAAAAAAAAATTCAGCAACAAAATGAGACAGTTGTTTGTATAAATCATTAATTGAATAGGATTTGAGAATATCCAACAAACCTCGATGGGACCCTTAGGAGCCTTTTTAGGCTGTCTCTTTGGCTCATCTGTAGTGACTTCAGGATCGGTGGTGCCTGACAGAGGGCAGCAGCTTTTCACATTGCTGTAAGTAGAGCGTATATAAGGAGAGAAAAAGCAGGTCGTTGAGTGGCAGCAAGGCAGTGCTAAAGGCGGCCAATGTGGTTCACTTGAGCGTCCGCGTGGAATTACGTAGATATCAAGAATGAGAATAATGGAGAATCTGTCAGCCGCATCACTGGCAAGAGGAAGAAGTATGAGTTGTGAGATTCGTTTTGCGCAGTCGAGCCGAGCCGAGTTTAGTGATTGACCTGTTAGAAACTTCTTGGGTGCCATGTACTTTCTTTTTCGTAATTTTTTTTTGAAACTGCACGAAAACATGAGCTTCACGTTGTTTCATCTACACCTTGTAGTCAGTTTTTGTATCACGGTCGCGTTTCCTCTCGCCAATGGGTACCATGTACTTTCTTTTTCCCGCTCCGTGGTGGCGTTCCTTAGGGCATCAGGCGCTTGTAAAATTACATAACTTCCGTTTTGTCTTGTATGTTACATGGCTTACCTGTTGTCAATTTTTTTCGCCACCTTTCGTGTGGCTTTTCCTGACTGCCCCCCCTCAGCTTCTCCACGCGCCTGTTTCACCCCTTCTTTGCCCTTCTTTCCTTCCTAAAACATAGTGAGTGGATGAACAGCCGCAGGCGAAGTAAAACACGCAAATCCACTAGCAGTGAATGTCATGACTGCTTGTGCTTAGTGCGTCAAATAATTTCATAAACCTTCCAGCGTTAGGCCCTGCTGGTAGAAGGAGAGATATTTAAGCAAACTGATCCCTGCATTACAGACATAGGATCCCATTTCCTAATTCACTATGCTAGCGTTTACAAGAATCTAATGTAACGCTGGCGGGCAGTGCGTTTGGGCCATCGATTAACAGCAAGGCAGCAAGCGCTAATGTGTACAAAAAGTTCAAGTAATAGCCTATCGAATATTAAATTAGTTGCCACCACACTTACTGCCCGTGTAAAGATGCACTTTTTGCATTATTTTCCGCAAAATCAAATACGAGCACTTATAAGGTTTCGAGATTGAAGTATGCGGACAGATACGTAAATACAAGAACAAATACATACACACAATAGGTGAACTCTCGACAATATGCTTTCTCTTGCATTGCATGGATGAAAAAAACGTACAAAACGCGGCATTATACTGAATGGGCTTTCCCTCAAATTGTTAATCAAACAATGCTTGCGGATGTCCAGCAAACCTCATTAGATTTTTCAGCCGTCGGCAGTGGCTTATTTTTTGAGCGTTGACGACCTGCCATACCGCGTAGGACAGAACCTTGTATTACAATGCCGAATTTCTGCCAATGAAGTGTAGATATATGCGTGCGTTTTGTTCAATATGCAAATTAGAAAACAGTGGCGGTGCCCATCAAGGTTGCTGGTACGGTCATGCGTTTTTACGCAAGTACTGGTGCAGTCAGATCCTTAACTGTATGAAAAGTTTTTACTTTACAGTTCAATATGTGTACTCATACTGACAGTGTTGTGAACTGTTGTTGCATTTGCGGAAGAAGTACAGGGGAGGAGAGGCATCGGCTAGGACATAGTGCTGCATTGCTTGGACCTGTGTCGACTTCAGACGCGTATGGTTACCGTGAAGAAGAATTGATATTTGTAGTTTTTCAACTTTTTTTTAAAATTTAAAGACAGCATTAAATCTTTGTGATCCTCATAAAACACCAAAAGTATAATACTTGCTCATTTAATGCAAAAATACTCAAAATAGCAGGAGTATGAGACAATAAATAGCAACGCGCACCAGACTAACCGGTACGATCATGCGTTTTGTGCAATTCAGCCCATC